AACTTCTATCTTGAAAATAAGTGCATCCCACTCCCAAGCGACCTGGTATGCCCACGCCTGATGGGATTCCCCCGACGTGGCCTGCTTGTGGTGTAAATCTGTGTTATTTCGCCATCATTACGCTGTTTGTCCCCACGAATGGCTGGCTGGCGGTGTCCTCAGCCGTTTGAGGAAACCGCTCCGTTTTCTTCTTTCATCTTTCTAGCATTAACTGTTTATCTTCTATCACTGTTCATGTTGCTTTTACATGATGATATCGTAGCTTTTCGAGTTTTATACGGACTTACATAAGTGGAATATGTTTCGTCATTTATCGCCTTCTTCGGGACCTACAAAGTCGAAACAATTCAGCTGTTCTCTAGTATAACAAGGAAAACAGATCATGGAATGAAAGCTTTGACCAAACTTCATTAGACATTAAGCTCCTCCTGGCACTCTAAGCATAGCTAGACTGTGCGAATGTACTGGAGAGCTGGAGCTTTGGAGCTTTTAGGTAAAACCATCAGTACTAACAGACTCCGAGACGGGCGATTTTTCCCGGTATTCTAGTCTAAATAAGGTCTGTATCAGTCTCGAGAGGCTAGGATCAGGGACTGAAAAAGATTTTCCAGATTTCAGAGCGCTTTCATACTTCCCAGTCCGATTGTTTGGATCGCGAGATCGAATTGCTCGGATTGGATCGCGTGGTCGCATCCGGACGCGCGATCCAAGCAATCGGATCGCGCGTGCGACTACATAGCGCGGTCAGATCACCAAGTATGGGAGCGCTTTTGGTTTTTAACAGGGCACATCATTGGTTGGGGACTTTAGTCGACTCAATACGACCCCCCCCCCTCTACAATCAGATTTTCCAACTTCCTTCCTGCCCCTTTTTTCCAAAATTTCCCGAAAACTTCCCTACTTTTTACCAAAAATTTTGCTGTCGAGCGGGGGGGGGGGCATATAGTACGTGAAACAGGAAAATCACCAAAAGTCAACGCCAAAACGTAAATACGACCCCCCTTGCGAAAATGGTCAGATACGACCCCCCTCCTGGCGATCATACAACCCCCTATTGGGCATTCCCCAACAACGATGTCCCTTTTTTAAGCACTTCTAGCCAGGGAAGGATGGTCGGCAAGCGCGCCATTTGAAGCTGGGATATGACGTTACTGGGCGCCTTGATGGTCTTCTGCTAAGCTGCCTGCGAACCTCCCCACGAAAGTTTACACGTTGTTTTTGGCAGGGCAGACTCAAACCCACGTGTTTTTTTTGAATAAGGGTGTTCAAGAGGCAAGCGTGCGGCCTCAATGAACGGTAGTGGCAACTCGATTTCGAAACTGTCTTGAACCCCTCCCCCTTCGGGTTGAATTGTACGTTCCTCGTGAAAAGCCTTCGTGCTCGTATCGCTAAGTATGGATGCGCTCTCAGGAGGTCTGCGGCGGACTTGTAGGACGCTTCGTAACCAACCCAAGGGCCATCAGTCTATGTAGACCTCATTTAAAGCACCTCATTCAAAGCGGCCGCTGGGGCCAATGTTTTCCTGGTAGAAATGACATGCCCCTGTGCCCTAGCTATCGTTTGAATCTCTTAATGTTCTAAATCGAATGTCATCCAGCTTGACCCTAGTTTTCAGCAAGTAGCGCGTCTGCCATCAGAATGGATCCGGAAGCTTCGTATGGTGACGAGGGTCTCACAGCGTCTATATCTCTGAGGAGACGTTCAGCATCTTTCTCCGACGATTACTCGGTACAGCGCACTAATGATGATGCTACCCAGTGCAAATTTGCTGCTGTTCAGGTATTGGCTGATAGATTTCACTTCGAATTATTCTTATACCTCCTTCAGTTGGGTTACTGGAAGGATGAGCCTGCCCCGATTTGCGCTACCAGCGGCTGTACCAGCAATCTAGACGTGATCCAGAAATTTCTATTGCTATGGCTCGCGTCTCTGCCTGCTAACCATCTGGTTGAGAGCGTTTCATTCGAAAAAACGAAGGGACAATGCCAGATTATCAGTCTGGGTTGGTTGACGTTTGCCCCTGTGTTACCAGAGAATCCTGAGCATTTTGATCACCATGAGAAGTTTCAGGCTGTGGTTTCGACACGCTTTTCTGGCGATTGAAATCCGCTGGGAGGAAAATGAAGAAGTTTGTCGATGTTGATTTTAGCTCGGTGACGGCTAAAAAGATTCGCCAGATTCGCAAGCCTGGCTCACCAGATTTGGTTAGCCTCTTCAATGAACCACGTAGGTTTCTTGGGTAATCCACTTTCCTACATTTTCCTGCTGGCTTAAATTAACATTCTCATTGTGCTGCTTCTCAAATTGAGTCTGGTTTTTACTACGCGCAACTCCTCAATACACAGCGGTTGTGCCAAATGTCAGCTCTCTTTGAAGGGAATGTCTAGCAAGGCAGCAACCTTTTCAGAAGGGAAATGACCATCAAGACAGACGATACCGTATATTGAAATCACCGAACAAAAGGTCTACGGGGAACGTCCTCCAAGCAACGTTTATACTTCTTAATCCGAGCGAACCAGTCGCGCGATATAGGGCGACTGTGACCGATCGCGCTCTGCTGCTAATCGTTAAGCCGCTATAACGCTCGACAGGAATCCTACTTCGAATGCGACCAAAATGGCAGTTGCAGTAGTCTAACGGTGAGCGAAGAGGCGCATTTCGTCGTTGGATCGCTCGAGTCTGGATTTGAGAAGCTGTGGGGATGCTTTATATTTTGAGAAATTTTGTAATCACCTTTAGTACGGTTCTGACGTTCAGTTGATATATTGCGCTGCGCGTTACTTTCCATAACTTCGAATTTGCCCATAAAATAGGAATAAGCAACCTGAAATTTCATCAGGTCTCATGAACGAGACACTTGACGCGCTCCTAGCGAACTGTAGTTTATAGCCCTTAAAATACGGTAAAATTCTCGAAGCCAGTAATGAGATTCTAAAAGGGAATCAGTTCAATTTACATCTGTTTTTTATCCAGACCTGTGAGCTCTAAATGATATATAAATATGTGAAGTAGTTCATTTTGAAATTTTCAGCCAAAGAAACACAACACACGGACTTGCATTGCGGTGATTATCATCTGGTTGGCGCGGATATTCGTCAGTGGGCTGAGTTCAAAGCCAAGCTGGATTCCGTCGGTATTGATACCACCCTTCCTACATTCTTCTTAGCAGAGTGAGTATGCTTATTTATTTTTTCAGATTGGACAGGGGGGGGAGGACACTTGGCACTTGAGCGGTGAGAGTGGGTACGCCTGGCAGAGCATCTATGGGACCCTGTCTCTTGTGCAAAAGTGTCCCTCGGCCACCTCCATCGATAGGGGAAGGGGCGGTCGAGTGCGAGCTTTATTGGCCA